GAGAGTAGAGGGGCTTTACTCATGTACTCTTTGAGGTTTTTGAATGCCTTCGGCACATTCATCAGTCCATGTAATGTACTTCCTACTTCCCTTAAGTGCTTTAAAAAAGGGAGCACATTTGTCTGTGGCCTTAGAAATGAACCTGGTTAAGGCTGCCACCTTGCCAGTAAGGCTTCTGGATGTCCTTTGAAGTTACCGGTTCCTTCATGTCGAGGATTGCTTTGATCTTCTCGGGATTAGCTTCAATGCCTCGTTGGCTAATCATGAAACCTAAGAATTTGCCAGAGCCTACGCCGAAGGCACATTTGTTGGGGTTTAACCTCATTCGATACCTCTTCAAAATAGTGAAAGTTTCAGATAGGTTGGTGATGTGTTGGTCAGCATGTTTGCTCTTGACTAACATATCATCAACGTAAACTTCCATGTTCTTCCCAATCTGCTCGGCGAACATTGAAGTTGACTAGTCTCTGATAAGTCGCTCCTGCATTCTTTAGGCCGAAAGGCATGACTTTATAGCAAGTATAGTCCTCTGTCGGTAGTGAAGGCTGTGTGTTCTTGATCCGAAGGGTTCATGAGGATTTGGTTGTATCCTGAGTAAGCATCCATGAAGCTCAAGGAGTTCACACCCGGCCGTAGAGTCTATAAGTCTGTCAATAAGAGGAAGAGGGAAGCTATCTTTCGGACACCCTTTGTTTAGGTCGGTGTAGTCAACACACATTCTCCACAAGACCTTTTGAAGCAAAAGACTTTCTTTGGTCGGATTTTTCTTAACAAGGACCACATTTGCTACCCATGTCGGGTAATTGACTTCGCGGACAAAGCCTATGCCTTTGAGTTTTTCAACTTCTGCTTTCATTGCCTCGTATCGTTCAGCGTCATAAGATCTTCGCTTCTGTCTCACCGGCTTGATCTTGGGGTCAATACTCAAACGATGACAGATGACATCGGGAGAGATGCCTGGCATGTCCTCGTATGACCAGGCGAAGACTTCAGTGTTCTCTTTCAAAAAAGATATCAATGCTAACCGAAGGGGTGGTGACAATGTGGTGCCAATCTTCACCATGCGATCTGGATAATCTCTTGAGATAGGTACCTTCTCCAACTCTTCAGCAGGTTGGGCTTGCTGGGTGAAAGAGTCATCTCGAGGATCATCGGGTTGATTGTTGCTATCAGGAAGATCCAAGTTCGCTTCATCTAGGCTGGTCTTTGTGACTTGGTCATGTACAGACAGGGTTTCCTTGGGTCCGGGCAAGTGTTGTTGCTTAACTGAAGTGTTGTAACATGATCGTGCACTAAGCTGATCTCCTCTGATGTAGCCGTTGCCATGGGGGGTTGGAAATTTCATCAACAGCATATGCGTGGATACCATAGCCTTGAGATCATTGATGCCTGTGCGCCCAAAGATGACATTGTATGCCGTTGGGCAGTCAACCACTAGGAAGTTAGTGGTAATGGTAGCCGTGTAAGGGCCTGTACCAATAGTAAAGGGTAAATGTATGCTCCCTAAGGGTTGCACGATATCACCGGAGAAGCTTATCAGAGGAGAAATCGAGCGATCGAGCAAAGTGTTCAGCTACACTGAGTGCCCTGAAAGCTTCGGCAAACATGATATTGACCGAAGCCCCTGTGTCTACGAGGATTCGTCGAACATCAAAGTTGGCTATGTGAGCCTCCACGATCAATGGGTCGTTATGAGGGTAGATGATGCCTCTTTCTTCCTCAGGGTAGAAACATATCGGATCCCAGTTAGGCTTTTTGATACTTCCCTCCCCTGATGTCTTCCACGTGAAACACTTGGTGACCAGGCCTCAGAATTCGTTCACTGTTTTTCATGGCCCTATTGGAAGATTCAGATATGGGTGTGCCGCCGCTTATGGAATATATGACATTCACCTGGCGTTGGTTACGGTTATCCCTTTGAGGGTGAAGGAGGAATTGATCAATTTTTCCTTCTCGTGCCAAAGCTTCAATACGATCACGGAGGATGATACATTTCTCGCTATCATGGCCGTTATGCTCATGGTAGCAACAAAACATGCCCGCGTTATTCGGGGGCGTGTAATCTGGGTGCCTCGGCTTTGGCTTTGGTATCAGGTGAGCTATGCTGGGGTAAATGGCCGCGCATGTGGCATTCAAGGGCGTGTATGTCTCATACCTTGGGGTAGGGGGTATCTTGACGCGGGTTTGACCCACTGCATTGACTGCCTGGGGCGAGCGTTATTGTGGCGATACCCTTGGTTATCGGGATAGTGTCCCTTACTCTTTTTACTGAAAGGAGAGTGGTGAGGATGGAAATCCTTCCTCTTGCCTTGAAATTGATATGTCTGTTGATTCGGCGAAGCATTATGCAAGGCATGGGGAGGTGCCACTGCTGTTTGGAAAGTCGAGGTCTTCTCATTTAGGTGAGTCTGGCTTCCACCTCCCACTTGTTGATAAAGGATGGTTTGTAGGGGGTTTCTCCTGATATGTCTTTGCCTCGGCGGAGGCATGGTTATAAGCCTGCGCCATCACCTCAGAGTAAGTCTTCCAAGTATTGGCATTGATCATGTATTTAAAGAAACAATCACGTAGGCCTGCCGTGAAGGCTTTGAGGGCAGTCTTGTCGTCTGCCTCGGCACACCGGGAGTATTCATGGCTGAAGCGGCCAGCATACATACGTAATGACTCGTCTGGCTTCTGGCGGATAGTGTACAAGTCATCTGCAGAGTGCAAGCGATCGGTTTGGAAAATGTGTTGGGAACAAAATAGTTTCCTCAATTCCTCAAATGAGTCTACCGTCTCAGGTGTAAGACGACAATACCAATTTAGAGCTCCACCAGAGAGGGTGGAGGGGAAGAGAAGACATCGCTCTTCGTCGGTGTGCATCCGGTATGCCATGGTGGACTCAAAGAGGTTAAGGTGCTCAATCGGGTCCTCTTTTCCAGTATAAAGTTGCAAGCCAAGCTTTTGCTTTGTCTTTGCTTGAAGGGGGGTGTTGAGGATCCTCCTTGTAAGAGGGCCAGGCCTGGGTTGGTTCCAGTCAGGTATTTCAGCCTGACGTTCAGCCTTCAACTTGTTTACTTCCTCAAGAAGTTGTAGGACAAGGGGTCCTGAGCGGAGTTATGTGTCACTGGAGCTTTCTTTCGTAAATCTCCATCTCCTATTGGAATTAGGAAGGTTTGATCAAGGGCATGTGATTTTTCCCTGGACTCGCTGTACTGGCTTCCAGGGTATGTCTGTCGGAACACCTCTGAGTCCCCTGTACCCTCATGTCTCTCTAGGACTTGTTGCCCCTTCCCCAAATTGGTGGCCGGCTTGGGCCGTGGCAGGGGACCGAGTCTCTCAGAAATCCTTGGGTCATTGATCTTTGAGCTTATATGGATGGAATTCTCTCGACGTTGCTTCAGGAAATCCCGACAATCGCGAAAGACGGCTTTCGATCCTTCTGCCCCTTCAGCAAAGAGGTGTCTCCCTCCACTTCTCATGGTTCGGGTCGAAGCAACTGGGTTAAGAGAAGCCTCATGTTGATTATCAAAGTCGAGGGGTAATCTGTTCCCTATCAGGGATATCTATGTCGAATGCATGTGACCCTCCATGTTGGAGGGCACCCAGTTGATGGTTGACTTCCACGGGGGCAACAAGCTCGCGTGTCTGAGCTTGCCTAGCTTCGTGGAGTGTCTCGAAGAGCTTCTCATATTGCTCCTGGAGGACCTCATTCCTCATTGCTATCTTGTTGTTCTGAGCTTCCAACTCATCGACTTTAGCTTGAAGAAGAACTCGTTTTCCTTCCTTCTTTCGTTGTTTCGCACTATGTGCAAGGGGGTGTCATTCTGTGTGCTGTGGCTTCCTTCGCTTCCCATGTTGGAGAGGGATGCCTGATCAAAAGAAAGTGTACGAATGATAGAAACCAGCTTGACACAGCTGAAGAGAGTAGGAATAAGTGTCGTTTCCCACAGACGGCGCCAAATGTTGATGCACAAAATCAGCGAAGACTTTGGTACAACAGAAAGTGTCAGGTTTTGTGACCTTCGCTTTGGTTGCTTCAGTCACTAGTGAGGATAAGTACGTAAATGAATAGAGACAGAGAAGCAAACACAGGATGTACGTGGTTCACCCAGATTGGCTACGTCCACGGAGTAGAGGAGTTCTTATTAGTAGTGAAGGGCTTACACAAGTACAAAGGATCAAGCTCTTAATTTAGTGAGTTCTTGTGAATGATTTAACACAAAAGGCATTAGGCAATATTGTGGGGGAATGACCCCTATTTATAGAAAAACTTGTAGCTTTGTCACATTGACATGTGTCATGTTATGATTGGTTCTTGATGTTGACACGTGCTGCGCTCTTATTGGCTTCTAATCTTGACACGTGTCGAGTAGTGATTGGCCTCCTGGTCGGAGGGGAACTCTTCTGGGTCCTTGACAGTATAGCGTTGGCCGGTGCTCGGTAGTTTCGGGATTGGTCAAGTATGGTACAAACACCACCAAATATATTGATAAAAATCATTTGGAAATCCAAGGGTGACTTTTTTAAAACTTCAATCAGTATTTTGGGATGTGCTTAAAGGGGTATTTCAAGTTTATAAGAAGTGGTGCAAATAGTCAAACAAAACATGTCTCTTAAGTGAGGGATAGTGAGGATTACAAAATCACTTTCTAAAAATGCAATCCAGTCATCAGCACTTTTTCCAACTCAAATCCTGTCCTCATAATCCCAATCTAAAGCCAAACCAAACTTTCAAACCCTCTAAACAATCAAATCAGTTATCATTGGAATCCAACAGATGCATCAGCAGCAGCTAACTTCAAGAGGCATGCCTTTAGTTCAAGTAAACAAATATCCGGGAACGATGCACCCGACAACACAGATTCTGAAGATGCCAGCAAATTCAACGGAGGAGAGCATGACAGGAAATGCGTAAGTGATGATGACGTCTCCAATCCAGAATGCGAGGGCACAGATGGCAATGCAGAGGCCGTGGATGCTCGTAGGGATGATCTCTAAGCAGACAATGTTCGGGGTTACTCCAAATGCCATGACGAAGCAGCAGGCACGGCGGTGGAGATTGTTGCATTCAGAACAGTTCCCAAGTTGATAATGTTGGCAACTACAAGAAGAGTGAGGGACAATATAATGTGGAGAGCAGCAGCGACCTGCATACCAAGTAAGGCAAAAAGGAAAGCTTATTTTCCACAAATATGCATAGATAGAACCGATTACAAACTTTTAGTCCAAATTAGAACCGGAGGGACACTACATAGACCATAAGGGACACTAAACTGTATTTTATCGTTTGTATAGTGTACCGTAGTTATAATTTTGATTAAAAGTTAGTAATCTGTTCTAGGAAACCGAAGGTGTTTGAAATTATCTTCTGCCAGCTATATCCATTAAGAAAGTTGTAATGGCACTTACGAAGAGAGATGCAGATGTCGGATTCAACCCATGGGAGTAAATTTTTTATGTACGTTGGGATAGTGTCCCCTAGTTATATTTTTTGTTTAAAAGTTAGCTACCGTTTCTATGAAGTTGAAGGTGTTTGAAAGATAAAAACCTTCCGCCAGTTATATTCATTAGCCACATGGACGTAGCAATGCAAGGAAGCATTCAGAAAGTTGTAATGGCACTTAAGAAGAGAGATACCTGTTTGGAATCAACCCTATGTTAAATAGAAGAACAGCGATGCTGGCTTGCTCATAAACCTGAAGAGTGTAGTAGAGAACTCCATTTATGCCGACAATCTGCGCAGCTGAAAAGAAAAGACATAAGAAGGTTGACAAACAAGAAAGTTTCTGAAAGATTTTTTATAATTTAATAAAATTCCAAGCGCTTTTATAACTCAAAGAACTGTTTAACCTTTTCTACCAAACCTGCTGAAGAATTTGAAGTCCAATTCCAACAACTAGTGCATGCTTCACTCCCGGTTCAAGAAGATCTCTCCATGTTGGCCCTTTAATAACAGCTTCCGATGGAGGAACCTTTTCTGCACGAAGAGAGCGCAGACTTGTCGGTTCCTTGAGTGAAACATCAGGCTGACTAACCAGACCAGCATGAATGAGTTTCCTTTCTTGTCTTACACCAGAAATTGAAACAACCGATGCAGGCCGACACCCAAGTGCACTATCCTGATGCAAATACACTCTTCGAACTCCTCCTTCCTTCTTCCCGTCTTCGCCTACTCAGTCAGAATACTTATAAGCCAGCTGCCAACCTCCACCAGTGTCCATACTACTACTGATAGCCTAAAGCACTGCCGCCGGACCTAGGCGTTCCCATGCTTGTTGTTTGGCACGAGATTAGTGGACTTCTCAAGCTTTCATCACAATAAGCCCCGGATGCTTCAGATTCGTGATCCTCACCATCTGTCTGGCTCTCTATGTCCCAATGTGCGTTTTTATTATGATACTCTCCTGCATTCAAAATGCTTCCAAGATTTGGATAAAGCATGCTGCCTTTGCTTCCTCTGTTGGACATCTTCTCGTGGACACTGCTAAAGAGAGTGACCAGAGGATCCACGAGTGGTATGCTCTGGTTCAACGCGCTCCCGTGGTGAGATATAAAACTCACTCCAGTTGCAGGTTTGGCGATGTATGATAAGCCCTTTTCGGGGCCATATAGCCGTATTTGATTTCCCTGATTTTCAGTAAGCACATTGGGGGCACTAATGATGAACTCTTCCAATGATGTTTCCTTGCCTGTGCGAAGACCCTCAACTAGCGAAGCCAACTCACCTGTGGATCATAGAAGCCAAAAAGTTAGCGCGAAAATGTCAATGGCATGAAATAAACGTGCCCTATAAATTTCAAAACTCTTTTTATAGCCTCCTGCACCCCGCTTGTGGGAGCAAAGAAAATAAATTGGCAAATCTAATGGACTCAGTCCCAGCAGCAATAGAGAAAACAAAGGACCCATAAATGGCAAAAGGCACGAGACAGAGTATTTGTCCAAAACCAAAAACATTACACAGTAGGCTGCAATTTTGACCCAAACTCCATCCCAGAATCTTCAAGGAATTAATATATAGGGACAGAGACCTGTGAAATTATGGCCATGTTTTCTACATTGTTGTCTCCTCTTGATATTATAATCGTACTAAATCTTATTAATCAACACCAAATCAAAATTTCCACCTATTCGTTAATTGGAAATGCTCATAAAAAGTACTCTTGATTAAACGGTACTCCAACAAGTTTTTCATCTCTGCGTGTAAACTTGATTAACAGAGAGAGGAGTACGTGCTCTACATGTTCATCCAAACGATGTAGTTCTTTGATCTTCCTGCAGAAATTTTGTACTTGTAATCTCCATTTCTCTTTGTAGATTTATATATCTGAAAACAAAACCAAGTTTTAAGACGATTAATCTTGAAATTTGTACTCATAATCTCATTTCTCCTTGCATATTTTCCTTCCATTGTTGTTTGTTTTGATTAATTAGAATTTGTTTTATTAGTGAAGGGCTGTGGCTTACTCACTCACAGTCAAAGGTACTGTAGGATACAAATGTGGTTTCTGTTTTTCTAATAATTAGCTAGTAGCCACCTACAGATATGAAATCTTTGTTTCTGCAGATTGAAAACTGTTTAAATTCTTGGGTAAATTACATGTTACCACCTTAACTTTGGATCATATAACAAAGTTATACCTCATTTTTAAACATTACAATGTTTTAAGTTAACTTACGAATTTGTTGCAATCTGACACCTTCGTTAAAATATCCATCTTAAACCTCCGTTAAAATATACATCAATCTGTTTGTTAATTTTAATTTAATTTAGAACTAAAAGTTCTTTAATTGTTAATATTAAATTAATTTTATAACCTAGTTAGGTAAGGGAGCAAGCCTGTGTCTGCCACATCAGCATTTAACATAAAAATTAATAGAAAAGTTGACAGATGTATGATATTGCAATGAATTTGTAAATTGATGTATTTAGCGATATTTAAAATATGAGATATAAGATTGTTATGGGACCCAAAGTTGATGAGATAAAATGTAATTTACTATAATTTTTTTATGTATTTAATTTAAATTAATTAATTTTGTCAACTAAAAGCAGCCATGAGTATTGGATGGCTAGTGAAGTTAGGCTAGTCAACTTTCTTTATGTAAATTAGGTAAGTTAGGCAAGTTAGGCAAGTTAGGCAAGTTAGGCAAAGTTAGGTCCTATGTCTTCTTTCTTTCCCTATATAGGCAAATCGTTTGGTGCGGTTCGATTTGGTTCGTGTTTCGGTTTCGGTTTTCGATTCTAAGTGCCCACCCCTAAGTGCAATCAAACTTGGTCCCACCGACATTCGGTGGTCTTTTAGACTAATAATGCATTTTCTTCTTAACCAGACCATAATTACTATTATCAGTCTTTGTTAGGGTCCCATTCCCTTCACGCTTCCATATAGGATGGGAATAAAATACATGAGAAAAGCAAAGGAATGCGCAGTGCATTGAAAAAAGAGGGAGGAGTGCTTTAAAAAACGGAGATAGATTGTCTGCCATTCTCTTTCCATGCCCTCTCATTTTCTATATTCTTCTCATACTCTCCTGTTTTGTGTAGTCACGATTAAGGCACGTTAATATTTTATATTAATTTTTTTATAAAAATAATAAGATAAAAAGTAAATGTTGACGTAGCTTAACCGTGACCGCATAAAACATGAGAGTATGAGGAGGTGAGGGCAGACAATCCATCTCCTTAAAAAACACAGATTGTAGAGTGATTTTCTTCACACGCGTTTTCTTATTTATATTATATCCGGTCTAACTTTTCTTCCTACCCACAACCACAAAGCAGTTTCCTACGGACTACCTTTCAGAGTCCATGGAGAGGAACTTTGGTTGCAACTTCTATTCATAAACGCTGATTCTTTTTTTCGTTTGTTATTGAAGCACGCGCCCTTTTCACCCCATGGCATATAAACCATGTTACATGGAGGAGAGATTTTTTAGTGTGATCAGCACACATGTGGTACACCACGTGTTATTATACAAATGATGAAATATATGTGTTAAAAAGTTAATAACTTAAAAAATAAAATTTCTCACCACTTACATAAAAACACATGATGTACCATCTGTGGTTCTGTCACTATGAAATGTTTTTCCATATGAAGCTACTATGACCGTATGTCAAATCAATTATGTGCATAAAAAGGTTAAAATGCATGAAAATAAGCAATTAACTTGAAATACTGCTATAAAAGCATTTAAATTTTTCTTTGTTTGTTCTATCATTTTTATCTGTTTTAGTACTGCTGGATGAAATTTCATCAAACTTCACCTTATTCTTCCCAAATGTCACGAGTTTTGGGCATTCATGAAATTCAACCTAAGTGATAAGTTGCAACCCATAAATACGATGTAATGATGTACCTATAAGGTTCTGACAACCATATACTGTCAATTCTTCAAGCCCCGTAAGTTATGCAATCGATGAAGGCAACTCTCTTATGCCACTTCAATCTATATCCAAATACGCTAGAGATTCCATCTCGTCCTTTATTTCTGAAAACTCTCGAGCCTTGTGCAACGACCAAGACAAAGGCGTTTTGCAAACCTCGTAAGCCTAGAGCACCCCCCAAGATCTAAATCAACAAGTTTATCAAGAAATCCAATAGAATCATCAACCTCAACCAAACTTGTGCAACCATGTAGATCCAAGTACTTTATGTTTGGGCTTCCGGATAAGTCGGGGATTTTTTCCAAAAATTCTCAAGAACTTAAATTCATAGATGTAAGCTTTGTCAAATTCTGTGAAACCAAAATATAAAATATATAAAAAAAAACAAAGTCACATACTTTAAATATAATAATTAATAATGAAAAACTTTGCAGAAAATTCTTTTTCCGAAAATAAAATATACATTTAAATTAGTAATCGGTCAAATTAATTTAAAATATGTATACGCACCTTAAATCCCTTCAATTGTTTGATGCCACTGTTTGACATAATAAATGTGACAAGAGGCCTTGGAAGATATTGCAAATTGAACAAAGACATATGCTCTTGAAGAATATTGGATCCCCGATTTTGAAACACTTCTCCACCTAAATCAAACAACCTCAAATCGTTGGGCAAATAATTAACGTATCTAAAAAAGCGTGCATTATGGCTTATAAAAATTTCAAGATTTATCATCTCGAAGAAGTTTTTTGCATTCAAGGGTATCACATCTGGTTTGAGCAACTTCACCACAATGCCTTTAATTTTCTTCGTTCAATACCTTGTAAGTCGCCATCAATTGACAAACCTGTAAAACAGTACCTTTAACTTAAACGATATCAACAAAGCATGAAATTTGGGTACTGTAGGTCGACATGCTCATTTATCATGGTATCACATTTATTCATTTTCTCAGGCTAACCAACTCTTTTCTAATACCGACACGTGAACTTAAGTACTACTCCTCCATGTCTTTTCTAATCCGTGCTTCATTAAGAATCTTCGTGATTATATTGAGTTATTTGGTATATGATCATTATAATTAGCATGAGCATCTCTAACAATATTCGTATCAAAATATGCCTACTTAGTTTGATAGGAAAAGATAAGTGTAACCAACAAATATATTGATAAAAATCATTTGGAAATCCAAGGGTGGTAGACTTTTTTAAAACTTCAATCAGTATTTTTTTTTTTTTGGAGAACACTTCAATCGGTATTTTGGAATATGCTTAAAGGGGTATTTCAAGTTTATAAGAAGTGGTGCAAATAGTCAAACAAAACATGTCACTTATGAGCTTATGACCCAAGAGAATTGATTTTTTTGGTACCAAATATACTTGTGCAGCATTAAGTGAGGGATAGTGATGATTACAAAATTATTTCTATACTAAAACCAAACCAGCGTTTACTGTTCACGGATAGTGAGCGGACTAAAATGCCCTCCAAATTTTTTCCCTGAGCGTTTTCCTCCAGCTTTTCTACAGTACAACGACGATTCTGCTCTTGGTGACCACGCGTCTGTCATCGGTGGTTCTTCCGCTCCATTTCTTCTCTGCCTTTTGTTTGGGTTCGTTTCTCTCTCTCTCCATTTTCAACTTTTGCTTATTTTGGAGCCTAGGTTTTTTTCCTCTTTCACGCCTTCGTTGTTCTTGCTGTCCACCCTTCACACATCTTTCTCTCGCCGATTATCCACGGCCATTTTCTTTCCAGAAAACTAACGTTCTCGGCCGGTCCAGAGATTTTTGAGGCCCGGGGCGACGCCAAAAAAAGTGTCATAACTTCATATAAGAAAATTATTTATTTTCACACATAAAACATTGATAAAATTATACTTAGAAAAACACTTCAAACTCAATAATTTAGAAACACAAAAAGACTAATTTATTTTGTATTGAGAGAAGAAAACCAAACAACTCTGGGCTTATAAGTAGATAGATGATGAGTTTTGTTTTCCATTTGAACTTTGAAAGTGTTTTTGTATAAATCATGAGGTGTTTTTTCTTATTTACTAACCTTGTCAATATGGGACTAAAAAAATAATGATGTTTTCGAGTCTTTAATTGATATGTGTTAGTAATGAATGAGCATTAAATTAAATATTTTGATAACACGTCATATAATTTACAAATTTACGCTACAAATTTTGTCTACGTATTACTCATCGTTGAAGATTAGACTTGAATTGAAACGAATATTTAAAAATAACAACGTACATAGCTACTAGCTAGTAACTAAAAATAAATTAACAACCAAACAAAAATTTGTTAAAATTGAAAAAAATAAATATGCCCATAGCGTTTCGAACTTAGGACCTCTTGCTAATTTTAAACAACAAAAACCATTGCTTCTAATTAAACTTCTTGATCATTTAACCAAATTTTATAAATTTATACTCTTATGAAAATAAATTTGTAAAAATTAGAAAGTAAATAAGCACCCAATGGTGTTTTGAACTCAAGACCTCTCATTATTTTCAAATGACCAAACCACCTCTTCTACTTAAATTTCTGTGTCATTGAACCAAATTTTATAAATGTATACTCTTATGAAAACATATATAAATTTATCACCCTAATAATTTTGATGCCCCCAATATTTTTGGGCCCCAGACAGTTGCCCTGCTTGCACTGGGCCTGGGCCGGCCCTTCTCTGGTGAGTTATTTTCGTTTGTTGTCGTATCTGATTTCAATTTTTTTTCGTTGTTTGGGTGTGGCTTTGTGATGCGGTTTGATTTTTGGTTTCAGGAAAAGTTATGGATACGATCTAAGGTTTTCTGCTTTTCTGATTGTATGTTGTTTGATTCTTTTTCGTGCTTTGGGTCTGCCTTTCTGATCTGCTTTCATATTTGATTTCAGCAAAAGTTGTTGTTCAAATTTTGGCCTTTCTGTCTGCAACCTTGCAAGCTGATTGCGATCAAGGTATAGAAGTTTTTTTTTTTTTTCGTGTTGGATCTTTCTCCGGTGATGGTTTGTTTGATTGGTCAAAAAATGAAAGAAATAAATTATGAAATTTAAACTGAATTATGCTTCATTTATATAAAGCTTTGGTTTTGTCGGGTTGTCATTGTTTGCCCTGTTTTCAGAGTATTCCCCTCCTTTTCGGTCTGCGATTGCAGAGTTGTGACCGGCTTTCCGGCGACTTTTCAGTCCAGTCTGGGCATGGCCTGCATTCAGATCACCGTCAAACAAATTCTATTGAACTCAGGTAGATTCTATAACAGCTGTATGTGAGTTTTTATTTCGGATTTGTGTTGATTTGAGCGAAACTCTTAACGGTTTGGTTTTGCGGTGAGTTGTGGCGGTTTGTCGAGTCTTTGCTGGCTAAAAGGGATTTTGTGTTTGGCTTCCTCCCCTAAATACATTTATTTGCTGTCTTTTCGACGGTGAAAATTATTTCTTTTGTGCCTGATTCCCGTGTCTGCTAAATTCACGAACTTGCTTTGTTGTAGTTTAGATATTTCAGAATTTCTAATGGTATTTGTACCTTGATGGGGACAGATAAAATGACTTTGTGATTAAGCTATTACGATATACTCCAGAGACTGAGTTTATGAATTTCTCTTCAGCAGGAACAGCAGCAGAGACTTGAAACGGATGCAATTTCTTATTCAAGTCCTTTGGATCCCTTAAAATGAAGTGACTTTTCACATAACGGGTTTGTTAATGTTTCATCACACAATGACCTTTCTATGTGGATCAATGGATCAGAGGATGCTGCAGATTTACTAATTTACATAAGTAATTGTACATGCTGTTATGTCCTTGAGCTGAGCATGCTTGCAAATCAAATCACGGTTTTATCTAATTTTGTTGTTTAGCATCATGTAAGTGATAATTAGAATTGCCCCACACCAAAAGGAATCTTGGTGGTGGAATGAGGAGGTACAAACAAAGGTGAAGGCTAAGAAGGAATGTTGTAAAGCCTTATACAAGGAGAGGACCGATGAAAATGGTGAAAGGTATAGAAAAGCGAAGCAAGAGACGAAGAAAGCTGTCAGAGAAGCTAAGTTAGCGGCTTACGACGATATGTATAAACGACTAGATACCAAAGAAGGAGAGTTGGATATCTATAAACTATCTAGAGCAAGGGAAAAGAGACAAGGGACCTAAACCAAGTGAGGTGCATCAAGGATGAGGATGGAAAGGTTCTTGCTACAGAGAACGCGGTTAAAGACAGATGGAGAGGTTATTTTCATAATCTTTTCAATGAAGGACATGAAATGAGTGCTTCTTTAGGGGAGTTGAGTAACTCAGAAGAGTGTAGAAACTACTCTTTTTATCGTCGAATCCGGAAGGAAGAAGTGGTTGTAGCTTTGAAGAAGATGAAGCATAAAAAAGCAATAGGCCCAGACGATATACCAATCGAAGTGTGGAAACTTTTGGAAGAGACAGGTATAACATGGCTCACTGACCTTTTCAATAGGATTTTTGAAAACGAAGAAGATGCCAAATGAGTGGCGAACGAGCACTTTGGTGCCTATCTACAAGAATAAGGGCGATGTACAAAATTGCATGAACTATAGGGGTATTAAGCTAATGAGTCATACAATGAAGCTCTGGGAGAGAGTCATTGAGCATAGATTGAGGCAAGAGACACGGGTTTCGGACAACCAATTCGGGTTCATGCCAGGGCGCTCAACCATGGAGGCAATCTATCTCTTACGAAGATTGATGGAAAGATATAGAGATGGGAAAAAGGATTTACACATGGTCTTTATAGATTTGGAAAAAGCGTATGATAGGGTCCCAAGAGACATTCTTTGGAGGATTTTAGAGAAGAAAGGAGTACGAGTAGCATATATCCAAGCTATAAAGGATATGTATGAAGGAGCAAAGACTGCCGTAAGAACTCATGAAGGACAAACCGAAAGCTTTCCCATAACTGTAGGATTACATCAAGGCTCATCCTTAAGTCCTTACCTTTTTGCGTTGGTAATGGATGAGTTAACAGGACATATTCAAGATGATATTCCTTGGTGTATGCTTTTCGCAGACGATATAGTGTTGATAGATGAAACTCAGGAATGGGTAAATGCAAAGCTTAACCTTTGGAGAGAAGTGTTGGAATCTAAAGGTCTTCGCCTAAGCCGATCAAAGACAGAATATATGGAGTGCAAGTTCAGTGCAAATGGAGGCCAAAACGAGTTAGGGGTGAGGATCGGAGATCAAGAAATACCAAAGAGCGACCGTTTTCGTTACCTAGGATCTATCTTGCAAAAGAACGGATAATTAGATGGAGATCTCAACCATAGCATACAAGCTGGATGGATGAAGTGGAAGAGTGCATCCGGCGTGTTGTATGACCGCCGTATGCCACTGAAGCTCAAGGGAAAATTTTATAGGACGGCAATAAGGCCGGCGATGCTGTATGGCACAGAATGTTGGGCGGTGAAACATCAACACGTACACAAAATGGGTGTAGCGGAGATGAGGATGCTTCGTTGGATGTGCGGGCACACGAGAAAGGATAAGATTAGGAATGAGGATATCCGGGGTAAAGTAGGAGTAGCCGAAATTGAAGGAAAGATGAGAGAAAATCGATTACGGTGGTTTGGACATGTGCAAAGAAGGCCTACTGACGCTCCGATTAGAAGATGCGACTATGGGACAGAGGTTCAGGGCCGAAGGGGTAGAGGAAAACCTAGGAAAACTTTGGAAGAGACTCTAAGAAAAGACTTAGAGTACTTGGATCTAACGAAGGACATGACACAGGATCGAGCACAATGGCGTTCTAAGATTCATATAGCCGATCCCACTCAGTGACTTGGATTTTCCAAGTCTCCAACCGAGAAGTTTTCCTCACTCGGGAAATTAAGGGAACACTACCCCAACCTACATGCTCTACTCAGAAAGCTTCAACATACAAGCTTCAACAAAAGAAAATTCAAAGAACTTAGCGAAGAAGGACTTTGGTGTATTTAAACACAATACGTTGAAATGAAGGAAAGCTTATTTATTGATATCCCCGATAAGCTACAAATATGTACATATACATGAGTCAAAATAAACACACAAGAGGGAGCCTTCACAAAGGTTGCTTAGGAGAAGTCTCAGCAGTCGGTAGAGCCCCAGAAAGAGAAGGCACCGGAGGGGGATCATTTGGAGCCTCAGTACTGGACAGAACCCTAGAAGGAGGAGGCATCAGAGGTTGATCATTTGGAGCTTCATTATGCGGTACAGCCCCAGAAGACGAAGGCAATAAATGCCTTTGGAACAAACCCACAAATCTCTGATGATCAAGTAAAACCTGACCATCAGTTTCCTTCATCTGGTCAAGCTTCCTCTTCATGTTTGTAGTATAGTCATGTGCTAGCCGGTGCAACTGTTTATTCTCATGTTTGAGCCCTCTAATCTCCTGTTTGAGACTCATCACTTCAGCCGCCAATGATTCAACTTGGCGGGTTCGAGCAAATAGGCGTTGGGCCATATTAGACACAGAACCTGCACACTGAACACTGAGAGCCAACGAATCCTTAACAGCTAACTCATCAGACCGTTTGGAAAGTAGTCTGTTATCTTTGGGAGTGAGAAGGTTCCTGGCCACCACCGCAGCGGTCATATCATTCTTCATCACGGAATCCCCAACGGTAAGAGGACCAGTAGGGGAGACGAAGGATGGGCGCCATATGTTGTCTGGAGAAGGCGGGGCTGCCTTTTCAACAAGGTTCAAGTCAAAACGACGGTCGGAGGTGCCAGACATTTTCAAAGGTGTTGAAGAGAGAAGAGGTCGGACAAATCAAGATCTTAGAAGTGCAAGAATGAAGCTTCTACTGGTGGAGATTCAAGTGTGCTTTGGAACTTAATGCCAGCCCCTATAAAAATCTACACTCGACGGAGCTTCAGAAATCGAAGAGGCGTTTGCTTTCTCAAAAGCTGGGCTGCTTAGAGATCACGAGGGTTGATCTCAGAAATCGAAGAGGTTGCTTTCTCAAAAGTTGGGCTGCTCAAAGATCACGAAGGCAGATCTCAGAAATCGAAGAGGCGCTCGCTTTCTCAAAAGTTGGGCTCCCCAGAGACCACGAGGGCCGATCTCAGAAATCGAAGAGGCACCTACTTTTCCAGCCTTTTCCAGCCTTGTCAGCACCTGTCACACGCACACTCAGCTTTGCGTAAATTATGGGCATTCTGTCAAAGACTTCTGGGAAGTAGAAAAACACATGAATCTTACTGTTCAATCACCCACTTCCCACACGCAACAATAGCTCATGGGTACCCACAGATAACTTTGCCAAAGTTCTCTGCCAAAGTTGAGCACGTGAAACTTGCAGCTCCCACTACATCGCTCTGACCAAGAAGGGTAAAAGAAAAGCAAAGAAACAGCACTAAAAAAGTTTAGACCCATAAATTTTGAAGGTCTAGCTACCATATTATTACCGACAAGGGTAAAGGAACAGTACCACTGCTGGATAATTGGAAAGTCCCTGTGTGTCAACCTCTGTGCTTCGTGGCAAGGTAGACTAGCAAACATGCCCAACCTTTACTCACATTCGAGAAAACACTCCCAATAAGATTGCTTGCTCCAAAATCGAAGAGGCACCGTCCTCCGAATCTCGAGAGCCAGACTAGACTAGCAAACATGCCCAACCTTTACTCACATTCGAGAAAACACTCCCAACAAGATTGCTTGCTCCAAAATCGAAGAGGCACCGCCCTCCGAATCTCGAGAGCCAGACTTCCCAACATGATTACTTTCTCAAAAATCGAAGAGACACTGCTCCCCGAATCTCGAGAGCCAGACCCCCAGCATGATTGCTTTCTCAAAAATCGATGAGGCATCGTTCTCCGAATCAATCGAAGAGGCGCTCGCTTTCTCAAAAGCTGGGCTGCTCAGAGACCACGAGGGCCGATCTCAGAAATCGAAGAGGCACCTACTTTTCTAGCCTTGTCAGCACCTGTCACACGCACACTCAGCTTTGCAGAAATTATGGGCATTCTGTCGAAGACTTCTGGTGAAGTAGAAAGCACATGAATCTTACTGTTCAATCACCCACTTCCCACACGCAACAATAGCTCATGGGTACCACAAATAACTTTGCCAAAGTTCTCTGCCAAAGTTGAGCACGTGAAGCTTGCAGCTCCCACTACATCGCTCTGACCAAGAAAGGTAAAAAGAATAGCAAAGAAACAGCACTAACAAAAGTTTAGACACATAAATTTTGAAGGTCTAGCTACCATATTATTACCCACAAGGGTAAAGGAACAGTACCACTGCTGGATAATTGGAAAGTCCCTGTGTGTCAACCTTTGTGCTTCGTGGCAAGGTAGACTAGCAAACATGCCCAACCTTTACTCACATTCGAGAAAACACTTCCAACAAGATTGCTTGCTCCAAAATCGAAGAGGCACCGTCCTCCGAATCTCGAGAGCCAGACTCCCAACATGACTACTTTCTCAAAATCGAAGAGAGGGTAAAGGAACAGTACCATTGCTGGATAATTGGAAAGTCCCTGTGTGTCAACCTTTGTGCTTCGTGGCAAGGTAGACTAGCAAACATGCCCAACCTTTACTCACATTCGAGACAACACTCCCAACAAGATTGCTTGCTCCAAAATCGAAGAGGCACCGCCCTCCGAATCTCGAGAGCCAGACTCCCAACATGATTACTTCCTCAAAAATCGAAGAGACTGCTCTCCGAATCTCGAGAGTCAGACCCCCAGCATGATTGCTTTCTCAAAAATCGAAGAGGCATCGTTTTCCGAATCCGAGAGCCAGATACCACAGACCACTTTTTCAAAGTGCTCTGACAGAGTTAAAACATGTGAAACTGGCAGCTCCCACTACCGTGCTATGACCAAGCAGGGTAAAGGAATAGCATTACTACTTGTTGTTAGGGAGACTCCTATATATGTCGACCTCCATCCCCAACGACAGGCAGACCTGCAAAAATGCTCAACCCTTCATCATATCTGAGAGGGCACTCCCAACGAAGCCTTTCGAAATATTCAGCTTTCTTTCCCCCCGATAATACCTCTGCAAACAAGCTATACTAGAGCAAGAATATCTCATATCATCAGGGTTAAAAGCAAGAGTATCCCATATCATGCTTTTTCCCTGTCTTTTCCTTTTGGCCTTGTTTTTACCTGCAAGACAAGGAGAAAGAGAGCAATCAGTCAGCACTTGGAATCAAGCTTCCAGCCAGGAACTGACTGCCTGGAACCCCTTACCTGATTACTTACCTGGCATTGCTCTCGAGTACTCATCTTCAACATCTTATGTTTCCAGGGAAGATTCCGCATCTGCTTGAGGAACAGATAGGGCAAGTGCGAAGGATACAAGGAAGCATGTGGAGACAAGCGTAACAACACACACGTGCCGATACATCCATTACTCTGTCAAAAGCAAAAGTATCCCATATCAGCAGGGTGGAACGTACTCTAGATTTGATGGACTTGTTTTGACCCTCAAATTCTTCAGTCGGCCTTATACTCTGGAGGAAACCAGAAAACCCTCCAGCTCAGTTCAAGAATAAGCCTGTGGAAAGTTACTTCTTCAAAAGCAAAAGTATCTCATATCATCTCTTCTCATTTTTCTTCTCTTTATCCTTCATGCTGCTGCAAGATGGGGAGAAGGTGAACAATCAGTCGGAGCTCTGATTGCTTACCTTGTCTGTCACCTCTTTCAGCAGACCCCCTAGCTCGGCGACTTGGGGGACTCCTACTACATGGTTTGTATCGCGCTTGACCAAGCCTGAAACTACAAGTAAGCTTCAAGTGAAATTGATACATTACCTTGTGCATCTCCACCAGTTAAAGATACCACCCCTGGATGGAGGAAGAGTACTTCCAGAGAAGATGCCACATCTACCTATGAGACAGATAAGGCAAGTCAAGACGACACCACACTCCGATACTTAGAAGTTTCGTGATTACGAGATCATTCTCCCACAATATTTCCTAATGTCATTTGTACTAAATCATTCACTTGTACTCACTAAAGGAGAGCTTGAACCTATGTACTTGTGTAAACCCTTCACAATTAATGAGAACTCTTCTATTCCGTGGACGTAGCCAATCTGGGTGAACCACGTACATCTTGTGTTTGCTTTCCTATCTCTATCCATTTATATACTTATCCACACTAATGACCGGAGCAATCTAGCGAAGATCACAAAAAGCGACCGTTTTCGCTACCTAGGATCTATCTTGCAAGAGAACGGAGAATTAGATGGAGATCTCAACCATAGAATACGAGCTGGATGGAAAGAGTGCATCCGGCGTGTTGTGTGACCGTCGTAGGCCACTGAAGCTCAAGGGAAAATTTTATAGGACGGCAATAAGGCCAGCGATGTTGTATGGCACAGAATGTTGGGTGGTGAAGCATCAACACGTATACAAAATGGGTGTAGCGGAGATGAGGATGCTTCGTGGGATGTGTGGGCACACGAGAAAGGATAAGATTGGGAATGAGGATATCCGAGGTAAAGTAGGAGTAGCCGAAATTGTAGGAAAGATGAGAGAAAATCGGCTCCGGTGATTTGGACATGTGCAAAAGAAGGCCGACTGACGCTCCGGTTCGAAGATATGACTACGGGACAGAGGTTCAGGGCCGAAGGGGTAGAGGAAGACCTAGGAAAACTTTGGAAGAGACTCTAAGAAAAGACTTAGAGTACTTGGATCTAACGGAGGACATGACACAAAACCGAGCGCAATGGCGTTCTAGGATTCATATAGCCGACCCCACTTAGTGGGAAAAGGCTTTGTTGTTGTTGTTGTTGTTGTATGATAAATTACTCATCTAGAAGTTAATTTTGTTCAAACACTAAGTATTGTTCTTCAATTAGAGATTTCTGAGTTTCTTTTTGCTTATTTTATGTTAAATTACTCATCTAGAAGTTAATTTTGTTCAAACACTAAGTATTGTTCTTCAATTAGAGATTTCTGAGTTTCTTTTTGCTTATTTTATGTTAAATTACTCATCTAGAAGTTAATTTTGTTCAAAAACTAAGTATTGTTCTTCAATTAATCTTACAAGAAAGCATATGAGAACGTGGCACACTAGGTGTTGGATGAAATGTGTGTGAGAATCTGTCAATATGAAATATTATAATTTTGACTCTCTTCTTTAGCTCCCGCCGCAGGTGTGTGAAGGCAACGTGGTCCTGATTGACAGTCTGTTTCACCACAGTTCCAGACGACAAATTGGTTTCCAAAGCTCTGATGATTTCGACTGAGAAAGAGGTCAATAACAGCAAGGTAATGGAATTTGGGTATCTGAAAATTTTAATTTGCATTGACGAACATGGATTGTGAACTCCGATGAACTTTGAAAAAATTTCCGCTGATCTTTGAGGAGGATGGTAGCAAGTACTACCAGGGATGATTTGATTATGTTTTATGTCACATTTTTGTGCCACTCACACCTTTTTAATTTCCTTTTTAACAGGAATACCAGTTGTTAGCAGGCTAGAAGAGAAAAGAGACTACGAATCAACGTCAACTAATATGGTGGATTTCTAAATTGTTGCATTGACTCTTCATACCAAATGGTATATATGCCTTTTATTTGTTATTGTTACAATTTTTTCTTTTCATCCATCTGTATTTCTGTTATCTTTGAGTCAAAATGAGGTAAAATTCAGCTGGCATGGAATTTGGGTATCTGAAAATTTTAATTTATATTGACAAACATGGGTTGTGGCTTCCGATGAACTTTGACAAAATTTCTGCTAATCTTTGAAGAATATGGTAACAAGTACTACTAGGGATGGTTTGATTATGTTTTCTGTCACATTTTTATGCCTCTCATACACCTTTCGTATTTCTTTTTAACAGGAATACCAGCTATTAGCAGGCTAGAAGAAAAAAGAGGCTATGAATCATCGTCAACTAATATGGTGGGTTTCTAAATCGTTCCATTGACTCTTCCATACCAAATTGTATATTTGCTTTTTATTTGTAATTGTTACAATTTTTCTTTTCATCCATCTGTATTTCTGTTGTCTTTGAGTCAAAATGAGGTGTACAATTCAGCCAGCATGGAATTTGGGGATTTGGGTATCAGAAAATTTTAATTTGTATTGATGAACATAGGTTGTGAACTCCAATGAACTTTGAAATTTTTTTTGCTAATCTTTGAAGGTAGAGATGAGTAACAGTGACTTCAATTTTGCTCATCTTTCTGATGCATTCTTCAAAATTCTGTGTACAATACAATAAAGCTTTTGCCAACTGAATCTAAACAAAAGTTTAACAAATTACAGGTGACAAAAAACTCTTAATAAGAAATTACCCTACTACATAGCAGTATTTGATCAAACTATAATACCTTTTTTTTTTCAACAGTGATGCAAAATGGTTGACGTTGGAGTTGGAAATAAGTCGGCGTTCGTATAGATTATTCTCTCCCTTCCTTGCACCAGAAAGTAAGTATTATTCCAAGAAGTTGAAAAGGAATCAGTGGCTAACAAAGTCGGTGGCAATCGATCAAAGAATGCTATTGATCCTTAGTAGTTGAATCTTCCTTATGCTCTGGTATATCATGGAATTTTTCTTAGTTTTCTATCTTTATTATACATTTTTTCTAAGTTGTCCTGCCTGTTTAGCAATTGGACTTTATTGCATTTGACCAATCCATCTTAGCCTTCTATTTTACTCATATGAGATTTTGGGTTATGGTTGAAATGAGTGTAAAATGACGCATTTGATCATCCACCTTAATTGATTTGTTGAAGTAATTTTCGTACCTTTGTGTCTGTTTAAAATTATATGTTTTTCATCTTTTAGGAGTATTTCATCGAGGATCCACGAATTTATGAGAAGTTCATTTGATCCAAACCATGGCTGTTGAAATATTAGTACCTTTATTTAAATTTTTCTTTATTTGAATATTATGTGTTTAGAAATGTAAATTTGCATAATTGAATTTTAGTAAATTTTTCATGATTTTGTAAAAAATTTCATTTAAATTTCAGAGTTTTGGAGAATTCTTCATTAAACCTACGGGTTTTTTGATGTTTTTATATTAGATTTAGAAGAATACTTTGATTAAATTTGTGAGTTTGGTACTGGTATTTTTTTTGCATTTTTGGTGAAATTGGTTCTGGGTTTTGATTATTGTCTGCAGCAGGGAAAGGGTAGAAAATCATTCCACGCCCTTCACCAGTTCCCGACTCTCATTGTGCACTGCCAACTCGCGAACCAAGTGGTCTTTCAGCACCTGCAGGAGATGAACGAAGCGAGATGGTATAGTTTTTCCGTAATTTTTACTATTGCTATATGTAAATGACCAAATCGAAATTGTCTTTTGAGCTCCTTACAAATTCAGTCTCCTGACTTATTTTCCTTTTTTTCAATTTGAATGCAACTCTGTCCAATCGTCTTTTTATTATATGGTTAGCTTCAAAAACCACTAAACAATTCTAGAAAGTTTTTTCTTTAGGTGACAAACCAGTGTTTGTTACAATTACATTGTTTTTCACTCTACAGCACAACTTTACCCTTTGAATTACAACTACACTGTTACAATTACTCCATTACCAGATCAACACTGAACCTTCTCTTATTCATGTATGTTTGTTCCTTGCTGTAAATACAATGAATACATGTACATGTCTGTAAAACTTTCTACAAATTTTATTACACTTTTAAACCCGCAGCAACGCGCGGGCATAATGACTAGTCACTTTCTAAAAATGCAATCCAGTCATCAGCACTTTTTCCAACCCAAATCCTGTCCTCATAATCCCAGTCTAAAGCCAAACCAAACTTTCAAACCCTCTAAACAATCAAATCAGTTATCATTGGAATCCAACAGATGCATCAGCAGCAGCTAACTTCAAGAGGCATGCCTTTAGTTTCAGGCACCTTCAAGTAAACAAGTATCCGGGAACGATGGACCCGACAACATAGATTCCGAAGATGCCAGCAAATCCAACGGAGGAGAGCATGACAGGAAATGCGTAAGTGATGATGATGTCTCCAATCCAGAATGTGAGGGCACAGATGGCAATGCACAGGCCGTGGATGCTGGTAGGGATGACCTCTGCGCAGAGAATGTTCGGGGTTACTCCAAATGCCATGACGAAGCAGCAGGCACGGCGGTGGAGATTGTTGCATTCAGAACAGTTCCCAAGTTGACAATGTTGGCAACTACAAGAAGAGTGAGGGACAATGTAATGTGGAGAGCAGCAGCGACCTGCAAACCAAGAAAGGCAAAAAGGAAAGCTTATTTTCTGCAAATATGCATATAGATAGAACCGGTTACAAACTTTTAGTCTAAAATGGAAATGGAGGGACACTAAACTGTATTTTATCGTTTGGATAGTTTACCCTAGTTATAATTTTGATTAAAAGTTAGTAATCGGTTCTAGGAAACCGAAGGTGTTCGAAATTATCTTCTGCCAGCTCTATCCATTAAGAAAGTTGTAATGGCACTTACGAAGAGAGATGCAGATTTTGGATTCAACCCTGTTAGATAAGAACGGTGACGCCGGCCTGCTTATACACCTGAGGAGTGTAGAAAAAAAGTTACATGGGTTCAAATAAAATTTCCCTTTTAACTTTTTCTATCAAACCTGTTGAAGAATTTGAGGTCCAATTCCAACAACTAATGCATGCTTCACTCCCAGCTTCCAATGGTGGAACACAAAGAGAGCACAGACTTCTCGATTCCTTGGCAGAAACAGCAGGCTGACTAACTAGAGCAACAACATTAATGAGTTCACTTTCTTGCCTTACACCAGAAATTTAAACAACCGACACAAGCCGAGACCTGTGAGATTATGAGGGTCTTGTTATCTGCAATTTTACTCCGGAGATGTGCAACTCTGTGTGGGTTGAGACGCCCAACTTCTTTTGTTAGAATTTTGAACAAAGATGGTTTGCCTTACCCTCCGACTTGATCGCTTAGGCTGGTGTTTTTTGGGGATGACGTGTTCGCCATTTGTGGCAGCGTCTTATTGTAATCCCGAGTCTCTTCCTGTCTGTTGCTTTCTCCTTGTCTGTTAGCCTTGTCTGGCTTTCTTTGTTCTTGGCTGGCCTCTGTGCCTTGGTAATGATTCCTTGTTTCAAAAAAAAAAAAAATCTCCTCTTGATATTAAAATTCAACTAAATCTTATTAATCAACTCCAAATCAAGTTTTCCACCTATTCATTAATTGAAAAAGCAGAAGTAAATGATAATAAAAAAATAATTGCAAACCCCGACTCTTGATTAACAGAGAGAAAAGTATGTGGTTTACATGTTCATCCAAACGATGTAGTTCTTTGATCTTCGTGTAGAAATTTTGTACTTATATGAACAAAACCCAGTTTTTAGGTAATTAATCTTGAATTTTGTACTTATAATCTCATTTCCCCTTGTATATTTTCCTTCCATAATTGTTTGTTTTGATTAATTAGAATTTGATTTTATTAGTGAAAGGTACTTCAAGATACAAATGTGGTTTCTGTTTTTCTAATAACTAACCACCTACAGATATGAAATCTTTGATTATGCAGATTGAAAACTGTTCAAAAAATCGTAACTTGCAATTGAGAGTACATAAGAGATTCCTACAATAGTAAATAATATGTAAATAACTAATTACAAACAATCGTAATCTGTTCTCCCTCCCAAGTATCAACAAATTATATATTTTAATTTCAAGAGAAATTAAGAGAGGAGAGACGAACCTGATTCCAGTTCAACCAATTATTTTCCAACTTTGCCACCTCATCGCCAATTAGTCCAAAGCAATTAGTCAACTGCAGACGCCTAAGCCCCGAGGGCAACTTTGGAATTTTCTCCAATGATGTGCAATCATCCAGATATAATTCCCTTAGATTTGGTGGAAGGGCATGTGGAATTTCCCGAAGCCTCTTGCAGCCTTGCAATCTAAGCTGCTCCAAGATGACAAAATTGCTAATGCAATCCGGAAGACTAACAAAATTGTTTCTCGACAGATCAAGATATGTTACTGTGGACCAGCAATGAAGACTGGATGGTTCATATTGAAGAGGCACAAGGAAATCACTTTCTGATAAATTGCATCCACCAAGATCAAGATGGCGTAAGTTGAAAAGGGCTAATGGAATACCGTTGTAATGTGAAGTATCTAAGCGAGTTGAAAACTTCCCAAATGTCACCAGTTTTGGGCATCCATCCATTTCAATATAGTCGAGATGTTGCAACCCATAAATGTGATGTAATGATGTAACTGTAAGGTTCTCACATTCATTTGCTTTCAAAACTTTAAGCCCAGTAAGATATGCAATTGATGAAGGCAATTCTCTTATGCCACTTTTTGATATGTCCAAATACTCTAGAGATTCCATCTCAGCCTCTATTTCTGGGAAACTCTTGAGCCTTGTGCAACCATAAAGATTAAGGCTTTGAAGGGATCTCAATCTAAGTCTCGTCGCAAATCTCTCAAGCCTAGAGCACTCATGAAGACTTAATCTATCAAGTTTATCAAGGACTCCAACAGAATCATCAACTTCAACTAAACGTTTACACTCATTTAGAATCAACTCCTTTAGGTTTGGACTTCCGGATAAGTTGGGAATTTTTTCTAAGAATTCGGAACCACTTAAATTCAAGGATGTAAGCATTGCCAAATTCTGTGAAATCAAAATCAAAAGAAAAAAAAAATCGCAAACTTTAAATAGAATAATTAATGATGAAAAGCTTTGGCAAATTTCTTTTTCCAAAAATAAAATATACAATTAAATTAGTAATTGTCCAAATTCATTTATAATAAGTATACATACCTGAAACACCTTCAATTGTTTGATGTCACTGTTTGGCATAATAAACGTGACAAGATTTCTGAGATGACAATTGGGTTGCAAATTGAATGTAAGTATTTGCTTTTGAAGAATATTGGATCCCCAGAAATGAAGCCCACCGAATTCAATCCACCTCAAATCGTCGGGTAAATACTCAACGCATCCAGAAAAGTATGCATTACGAATTATAAAAAATTCAAGATTCACCATCTTGGAAAAGCTTTTTGTATTCAGGGGTATCACATCTGGCACGGGCAATATCACCACAATGCCTTTAATTTTCTTTGTTCCCTAAGATGGAAAAATAAATAGTGTTAACAAACAAATCATATAACAAAGAAATCAAAAGGATTTTAATTTTTTTTGTGTTTCCAAAATCATGCCAATTAAATCAAATGCAAGAACATATATTCTACTTACTCTGTTTTGAGTTAGAACACGGTACACATCTTTAGGATGCCACAATCTGCTCCGCTCGCCTGGTTCAGTGGGCGATTCTTCCCAAACTATATGCTTACCCATTTGTTCTAGCAAGTCATGCATCAAAATCCTATTATGTTCAATAGTTATAATGGCATTCTCAACGAGAACATCAATACAATGTTGACGTACTTTGAGATTTGATCCTTTTTAATATCTGTAACACTTTGTCTTTTATCTTCACCTTGAAGAAGCATGCAATGTCTAGGAAAAGTTGTTGTTGGACATATTCCAAGGTATCATAACTTTTCCGAAGTACTCTTTGAATCCCTCTATGAGGTTCTTCATCGTAACTATCCAAAATATCTTGCCAACGATCTATATTTTTACCACGCAGATGAGAACCTATAAGATTAAGAGCTAACGGGAGGCCTTGAGCATAGGCTATTGCACGTCGTGCGAGTCCCAAATAATCAATCTGGAGGTTTTCTTTTCCGAAGGCATTCCAACTAAAAAGCTCAATAGCTTTGTTGTCTTCTAACTTTTGGACCTTGTATATCAGCTCAACTTTACAAGATTCCAGCAATCCTTTATTTTTTGTGGTTATGATCACCCTGCTACCCTCACCTAACTGATGGACTTCAACCAAGTTGTCTAACTGCTCAAAATCATCCATCATCAAGAATTAAGAGAATCTTCTTCCCTCAACATTTCTTAGAAGGATGTTTCCTCTATGAAGATTGACAGCTTTCCACTCTGAACCACCAATCTCACTCAGAAGAGTGTTTTGTAGTTGGAGTAGGCCTCCGTATTGTATTGACGTTTCTCGAACATCTGCCAGGAAACAACTACCTTCAAACTCATAAGCAATTGCATTATAAACAGCTTTTGCAACTGTTGTCTTGCCGATTCCAGATGCCCCCCAAATCCCAACCACACATGGATCATTTCCACCGACACCTAAAAGCTCTTCCACCTCTTTTACACAAGACTCCATTCCAACTGGGTAATTGGCTACCTTCAAATGCGTACATTGTTGTACGGGGACGAAGATCTCCTCCACGATCTTATTGATAAATGTAGCTTCATACCTACCAGTTTATATAAAAAAATTGACACATTTAGCCAATCAACTTTTTCTGCTATATTTCTTTGAAAAAAGAAAAAAAAGGTAAAAAGAAGAAGAGAATGAAAAGATAAAAAAGATTGAAAAAAAACAGAGGTATGGATAATCACTGATGCAGTCAAGCATGTGCCGCTTGCAACTAAATACAGAATCATGTAACATAATAATTGACCCATTAATAAAAATGATTTACCCTTATTCCATTATTCACAATTTCACATCTTTCCATACTTAGGACATTGACTGTTTTTTATTTCCTTTTGTTAAAATAATAATAATAAGACATGGACCTTTTTTTTGCATTTAAATGTTATGTTGTTGTTCGGATGAAAAAAGATGTTTTGTATGGATATGTATCATTTCTTTCCTAAAAGTACTAATTTACCTAACATCATTAGTAATCGGTAAATTATAAAACAACACCATAGGTACATTATTAATCAAAATCAGTAATTTGTAAGTTAATTTTTCAAAAACGTAGGTAAATTGATTTTTCAAACAAAATTAGGAAACCAAAAAATATTAATAAATTTAAAATTTGAACAACAAAATATGGGTACACTCGGGTAATTAATCCAGCCAATTCGAAATTTAACACAATGAGTACTAGTGACCAGTTAAACTTGCAATAGGTTTAACACAATAAATGGATATAAATATGCTAGAGAATCAAATTGTTATTAGGGGTATTTTGGGAAACCGAAAGATATAAAATCTAACTTGTTAAGCTTAATTAGTCAAGCACAAAAACTAGGTTGGGTTTTATGTAAAGAAAATTGAATTTCAGGTAAAGTCATCTTTTCAGATTAAAGGCAGTATTAAGGGGAAGAAATATACGTACTCTCCCTCTTTGAAAGTACGTCCGGACAAATTTGCTGCATCTCTAAGAGCACTCGTCCATGTGAGGATCTTCTCCTGGTTGTCTTCGAATTTGCACTTGAGTTTTGTAAACGCGTCACCAAAATTACTCGTTTGCTTTCGTACATCGGAAGGATCCACCTTGTAAAAAGCTGGCCAAACTATTTGCTGCCTTGACTTTCTACATTCAAGGATATGTACGAGCTCATCCAAGCACCATCTTGACGATGCATAGTTTTCAGAGAATACAATGATCGAAATTCTCGACTCTTCAATTGCTTCGAGAAGAGCCGGAGATATTTCTTCTCCCCTTTTAAGCTGGTGATCAATGAACGTGGTGATTGCCTTGTCGTGCAACGCCTTGTAAAAGTGATCTGTAAAATTGGTTCGTGTATCCTCTCCTCTGAAGCTCAAAAAGACATCGTACTTCCACGAAGGAGGACTGCTGAAGGAAGAAGAAGAGACAAGTTGATTGTTCATTGGAGAAATCCAGGTAAAATGAAGGGCCTTTCAAAGAATTGAGTATGGATGCTGGACTGGTACTCGCACCAAGAATTCGCTCTTATTATATATCAGGCCATTTGCATGATTTTCTGCCTATGTGGGAAGCAGCAGTTTCCTACCACCTTCAAAGTGAAAGTGATAAAGTTAAAAAGGAGAGTAACCTGCCTTGGAACTTCCATTCATCAAACCGAGATTTTCCCTAACGTTGCCGACACGCTTTCTTCCACCTCACAGCACCGACAACAAAAAGTCGAAAACGGATCCCCTCCGGATTCATTACGTGGGGATTCTATGGATCCTTACATTTCAATCGTTCATCGTATATTGTGCGGTCCGTTTTCGTCAGATACTATTTGTGTTTAATTTTAAATAATAAAGTTAAATATTCATGACCGCACAATACATAATGAACGGTTCAGATATAGGGATCCTAAGATCCCCACATAATGCATCCAGAGGGGATCAGTTTTCCAACAAGTCCATTCCTATTGTATATCGCACCAAACATAAGATGACACGTAAATGATTGAGATTGGGTGATTGAGTTACAATATTGACATTATTCCATATCCGACATAGATATTTTTTTTTTGGAATTTTTTTCAAAAATAATGTTAGAAAAATTAAATTTGTAGATAAAAATTTAAAAATTAAAGGATAAAGAAGTTGATAATTATTTTATTACTTAATCGTTCATAGGCATGCTCATTCTTATTAGTGATATATCATTTAATTTTTAAATTTTGTTTTCAAATTTATCGTTCCTAACATTATACTATTTTCTGCTTGCCATATTCATAGGTCTTGTAGTCTTAGTGGGCCAATTCATCATCCCTTCACACTGTTAATAGTTGGAAACAGCTCAACTACGATCGTTCTTCTTTTCCTTTCGGCAAAATGATCTCTTAGATAAATTATTTTTCTTTCTCTATTCCTTTTTTCTGTGAGAAAAATAAAGAGAAATACATATCAATGTGCATGTTGTCAAGTTGAAGGATTGAAGTTGCAATAAAAGTTCATCTCTTTCGTTATGTTACTAACATGCTCTCTCGTTTTCATCTCATGACACTTACACAATGCAATAGGAAAATAAAATAATAATATGTCAAATCAATCGTACGCATAAAAAAAGTTTAAATGCATAAAAACACACAATTGTCTTGAAGTAACACAAAAGTATTTCATTATAGAGTAATTTTCTTCAAATCCCTTTTCTTTTTTTGCACTCCTTTTTTGTTCGGACCTATTAATTCTCCGTTGATTTTAAAAAAAAAATCAAAACCCAAATAATTCTTCTTAACCAGCCCCACATTACTGCTTTCAGTTTTTGTCAGGGTCCCAATTCCTGGATTTGGATCCTCTCCTGAGCATAAGGAGAGGATCCTCCTGACCAGAGAGTGTGGGCTGTTGAATGAAAATTCAACGGTTATTATTATTATAATTTTACAAAAATCTTCTATTTATTACCGTTAAATTTTCATCTAACGACCTACACTTCTTGATCATGAGGATCCTCTCCTTAGGCTCAGGAGAGGATCCAAATCCCCAATTCCCTATCTCATCCCTTCACACTTCCACTGGATGGGAATTAGCTAAAACAATTCCTTGTGGATAATTTTCTTTTCCGTGATGAGAAAAAAAATACAAGGGAAAAGCAAAGGAATATGCAGGAGATCAAATTAATTAACCACACCCCACATTACTTATATCCAGTCTAATTGCGTCGTTTTGAACCATATAAATACTTGAAGAAAGGTGTGTAAATTAAGGATTTGGATCCGTTCCGGACCTTAATGTTCGGAACCTGCAAGTTCACAAATATGGGCCACTAATTGGTGTGCAAGTCAAATCAGGGTTGTTAGTTATGTGTGATGGGTCAGGAAAATGAATTAATGAAGACCATTGGATTCAATTTGTATGACCCATATTTGTTGACTTGGAGGCTTCGGACACTAAGGTCCCGAACTGATCCAAATCAGTCAATTAAGGTGATTATTTCACAAATGATAAAATAATGTATAATAAAGCCAAATAAACTAAGGTCTGCAAGTATTGGAGGCATTTTTTATTGCGACTGGAACACATGTGATATATCACATATTTTTATATAAATTATGAAAATTTTATTTTTTAAGTTATTAAATTTTAACGTGTTCTGTTCACATTAAAAAGTCTCTCAGCGTATTGAGTGTGAAGTCCCCCATAAGGACTTTCTTTCGGCAGGCCTTGTGCTTTTCTTCTTAGAGGCAGATTGTCTGTCCTTCTAGTTGTGATGTCATTTCATGCTCTTCTATCTGTGCGATCACGGTTAAGTTACGTCAATATTTTATATTTTTATTATTTTTTGTCTTATTATTTTTATTAAAAAATTAATATAAAATGTTAACGTAATTTAACTGTGACCACACAAAATAAGAATGCATGAAAAGGCATCACAACTAAGAGGGCAGACAATCTGCCTCCTTTCTTCCTGCCCACAACCATAAAGCAGTTTCCTACGGACCACCTCTCGAGTTGAACGAGAGGAACTTTGGTTGCAACTTCCATTCATCAAACAATGATTTTTTTTTTCTTTTTTTGTTATTGAAGCACGCGGTCCCTTTTTCACCTCATGGCACAGAAACGATGCCATACGAAGTTATAATGATCGTATCAAACTAATTATATACATATAAAAGTTAAAATGCATAAAAATACGTAATTAATTGAAAATATTATAATAAAACACTTAGGGCACG